ATATGGCAAGTGGAGTAGAGATTGGCATACACGATTTGGCACCAGCGATACATGCAGTTAGTAAAAAAAAAAGCGAAAAGCGAAATAACGAATAAAAGTAGTTAATTTAGAGCGCGTAAACGCCCAAACAACCTCATTAATTAACAATTAATAAAATAGCAACCCAACAATAAAGCAATAATGCAAACTCGAATTAAAAATATATTAGTATATGCACGTGTGTGAGCATATAAATATAAAGGCGAAACATAAAATAAATAGCTTGTTATTTATGTAAAAAAATTGAAGCGTTGTATCAATAATTCTAGCTCAACAGGCGACAATAAAATCGTGATGAAAAAATAGCACAAAGAGCGGAAAATATACGCAAAAATAAAAATACAATAATCACATTCAGACAAACATACACACAGATGCAGGTAGATACGCACGAAAAATATTGTGCATAAAAAGTATGTAAAGAGATCAACGTACCCGAGCCGATGATGATGAAGAAGATGAGGATGAGTATTTGTGAGTTTTTAAAATCGGAAAATGATAAACATTCAACCAAATGGTAGGCAGAAGAAAATAAGCAGAGATGTATAATACAACAGATAGGCAAATAAGCGGCAAATGAATAAATGTGTATATGTTAATATAAATGTTTTCTTTTAAAATAGAGCTTTAAGATCAAGTCTGAACTAAGGCTCAAAGTATCTGATAATAAATATACCAATAAAATATTTTGGCTAGATTTCCCAAAGATCTTGAATTATCGAATAGCAGTATGACAATTACTCATTAAATCAAAACTTAAAGACTTACCTGCTCCTTCCCAAACTTGATGCGAGATGGGAGTAGTTCTTCTTGTGTGAATAACAGTCAGAACAAAAGAGTGTAGAAACTCACTGAAGGCTTGCCTTCAGCATAATAGAGGTTCATATATTATTTAAATAAGGCGGTATGAATGATAAATACAAAAATCTTCAGGTCAAGCGACTAAAATCAAGAAAGAAAAGATAAGTCAAATATGTATCATTTGCAAAAAAAGGTTCTTTCAGTTTAGGCACCATGGTCTCCATTATAAAATGGAGCTTTATCAATTATTCTAGCCCCATTTTCTATGATGGCCTGTACTGTCAAGATTGAATCATATGGAGGCAGACAACCATCCTCGACAAAAGTGGGAATATTGGTCGTTTATCGAAGCAAAATATTTCATGTAACTGCAGCTGGATTCCTCTAGTCAAAGTAACTCATAATAAGGTCTCCCTAGTGAGCAGATCTAAGACAGAACGGAGTGCAATATTTAATGTTAGGCTAAAAGCTTACTTTGGATAGCGAGTGAATTAATCACAGAGTGGGAAGAATTCAGTAAGGAAGAGTCCCAGACTTGTAAATAGGCAAATATAGAGCAAAAAATAAAAATAAATGGATCATAGCTATGAAGATCAAGATGGTGCGGCCTAGGCTTGCTTGAAGTCTCTTAGGCTGTAGCGTTGGTCTGATCCTGTTTTCGCAACATGATCAGAAAAACAGAAAGACCTAGTCCTGCGACCCTTTCAAGGTATTCATGATACATTCCAGCAACGGACCGTTGACTTGAT